ACAAGAACAAATTATACAATGATTTTTGCAAAGAATGTCAAAGAATAAAACCGGAATTGAATAGTCTTTCAAATTCTACGAATATTATAGAATGAAATACACCGACTTAGCAAAATCTAGTGCATCACAACAATACTCCGATGATTGTCTCGCATAATGAGTGTCCATCCATCACCATCTCCTAAGTTAACATCTTTATAAACTAAAAACTAGATTAAGTAGGAAAAAGAAACTCTTCAGTTTTATATTTATTTAAATTGTTTCTTAGTTCATTTCTTTTGTTTTAAATTATCCATTTACATAATAAAAACCTAATAAATTAATACGGTGATTATATTCTCAATTTTCATAGCTCAATTTTCTTAAAGAATCCTTTTGCAGAAAGAAACTCTTTATTGTGGCCTTTTTTCCTTTTTCTTTTTTGTATATGCCCACAACAAATGGGCTTATTGGTGGATACAAAAGTGTCCATGAACTTCTATTGGGGAAGCTGAAGCCCTTCACTTCCTCCATAAAAGAAAAGAAGGAAAAAGAGGCCATAGTTAGTAGTATAATAATAGTGATGTGGTGGGGTGGCCCATCAATCCCCAAAGTCCCAACCCAGAAGCCTCATGCTTGGCCAAATGTCCTACCTCTCATTGGCTGCAATGTGGAAACTGACTCCAAAAAGCCAATCTTCTTATTCTGTTATATAAATAATTTTCACCAACTCCTAAATTGCTATTTGTTCTCAGCCCATTATGATAGAGAACTTTCTTAGCATGAAAGATGTTGGAATAGATATATATGTTATTTATACTCCAATTTTGTTAAATGAGGATTTCGAGATGAATTATTTGTGAAGTTAAAATAAATTGCGCAAACTCAGAAGCTAAACTGTAAATGTAAAAAAGGAAGACGTTCGAGAGTGGTAGATTAGATGTGAGCCTTCATCTAGTTACGATTTTGCCATGGCTAAATTGCTAATTATTAACACTCCTCTTGATATATCTCGGTAAAGTTTTTGAGTGTCTACTTGCTTTACCCAAAAAAAATCGAGCAAAATTGGTATTTTCACATAGAAGGCACAAGTACTGCTCATAAGTCATACCAGACTATTCTAACTGTTCTCCTAATGTACTTGATTATGTAAGCGAACTAGTGACTCTTAGAATAGCTAGAATTTCCCACATACCCCACTAAAATTAGGGATGGCAATGGGTCGGGTCGGGGGCGGATAATGCATATTCGTTACCCTACCCAAAGTAGTTCGGGTTTTACCCATACCCATACCCACATGTGAAACGGGTAGAAAATCAAAATCATGCCCATACCCGTTCGGGTTTCGGGTATCCACGGTTATTCATGGGTAATAATTTCTATTCATAACTCCAACCAATATATTAACATTTACACGTATTCTAACATTACATAAGAGGAAAAGTACGACAATAATTCACTAGAATGAAGAAAATCAATTAAAATAATACAATTTCATGAAATATTATATTTATATACTAAATATAAAATATGTTAGAGAAAAATAATGATTATTTCTAGATAAAATACATATGCATGTGTATAATCGGTCGGGTTCGGGTTGGATAGTGAGAACCCCATGCCCACCCATTACCCGCAATATTCGGGTTCGGGTTTTACCCGTACCCACTAAATGTCCTTCGGGTTCGGGTTTTACCCTACCCGATAAGGCCGGATTCGGACGGATAATCCATGGTTACAGATATTTTTGACATCCCTAACTAAAATTCTCAATTCAGCAGGAGAAAAGATTCTAAAATTCTCACGTTTTCATTGGTCATTTCCGTTTGGGGTTTATATGTAATTGGAAATATAATCGAATGCATCATAAGTGTCCAGAAGAAAACTGATAGGTACCAAGATAAGTGCTTTTGCTAAATGTACAAGAGTGATTTGAGAGTCTCAATCAGGTTTTGGGCATAGTGTCCTTTGATTTCAGGAACAGACATGGAGTTAGGTTTTTATTTTTTGCATCATGTGTCCTTTTAGAGGTCAGTTGTGACTTTCTTGTGCGTCTTTTTTGCCCCTTGTACTTGTACTTGTTCATGATTTTGGTTGTTTCTTGCATCACTTTCTTTTATAATATCCGCATAAATTCTTCAAGAAGAAGAAAAAATCAGAATAACCTAGAAGCGAGTATGTGGAACGAATTTCATATCTTTAATTTTTGTTGGTTTTTTTTTTAATTCTAAATCGTATTGTTCTCCGTCGAACAACATAGTATTACTATTAAAGAACATATCACTGGAAAAAATGTATCAACCATCAGTTATTTTATACAAAATCGACGATATATTTTGAATGACCTGTCACATTAAAATAAAATGATGTACCACATTTCTTACTTATACGACCCTGACCACTTAGCTTGTACGTATAAAAGTATCTTCGCATGGTTGGTCCCAGGCTCCCAGCCAGGTCCCCTACAAATTAATTCAAGTTAATTGAAGTGATCTTAGTTTGCTTGGCCTCATTTTCCTAGCCAATTTTAAGGCAATTAATTAGCTGCGTTGCCCTTCTAATATTTACTAACATTAAATGTCAGAATACAAAGTCTACGAGAAACCTAGCTACCAATAACCTTCAGAATTTTCTCAAGGGACTCCAAAATTTAACTGTGTAATCAAATCAGTAATTCAATATCAACTAACGGTGATACAGTCAAATTTGCACTTGCATTTCTTTTGTATATTTAGTTTTCTACAACACAATGTAGGCTTTCTTGCGACAAGAGCTTGGCCCAATGGTAGTGTCGTTAGTATTAAATACGGAGGTTTCGGATTCGAATCTCTTAAATAGTACCTAACTATAAACATCAATATATGTCATCCTTATAAAAAAAATGTAGGCTTTCTACGAATCAAACTCTGCCTCTGGTGAAAATTTTATATGGAATGTAATGGTATGACATATAATCTCGTGGTCACAATTTTTTTCTTTCGGTGGTTGGGGCACATAAATCGTTTAGATTGTTTTACGGTGTTATTGACTTTTCTACCATACTCTTCAGTAGCATCTTACTACATTCGAAGAAGGGTGTTTTGTGCGTCTACTTACTGGTAAAAATTAAATCCACCTCCAATTGGGAGCTCAATGAGTGTCATTAACCAATTTTTCTATTATCTCAACCCCAACTAAACTTAAGCTCACTAAGCAGAATCAGTTAGCTTGCTAACCATAAGGGGGTTAGCATCATCATAATCCTGAGTTGAAGTAGTATAATCATAGTTGTAGCCATTGTTTTGCAATTGTAGTCGGGTTTTTTTTTTGTTGTTGTAGGACTACAACTCCAAAACAATCATAGTTGTATCCTACAACTCCAACGCATACTACGACAACTTGTGGTAATTAGCATGATGCTAACCCCCTAATACGGTTAGCACAATAACCAGTCCCTCGCGTTAAGCACATGAACCCAAACTAAAGAAAACCCTAATCACAACTAGTTGAGCTCTAGAGTCTAGCATCATTTATGAGGAGGCCACCAGAAGGGAACAATCGAGTTGTTAACAGTACTATGTGAGTGTGTTGAATTGTTGTTTGTACCACATGCATAATAGTGAGTGAGGGCCTAGCTAGATAGATATAAATAAATGGGCTAGCTATCCCATTGAACACCACCACAAATTTTGACCAAGGAATTGATGAAGATCAAATTGGTGACTTACCACGAAATAGGATGCTGTGGTCCTCTTCCTATGTTCTCTAATGGGTGGTGCAGAAAAATAAATTTCAAAGCCAAAGAAGACATGAAATAAGAGGAAAAAAGGTGTTTTTAAAACTTCCATTTTCATTTGGGTTCACATTATTGATGGAGTTCAAGGGGGGTTTTGGGTTAACAGCGACAGGAGAAACTGGGAAATCGGAGTTTTTGTCAAATCCAAGTTTTCCTCTTCTCCTCTCCCCAATTCAATTATAGTGCCACTTGAACTAAAATTTCCAAGGGGTTCTTCTTGGTTTCCAAGTCTCCTAACCCATCTAATTAATAATGGATCAAGACTCATAATTATGCCATTAACTAATTAACTATAATCAAACCAACCCTCCCCACAATAATGGTAGGGTTTAAGTAGTCAATTAACTTGTTAGTTTCTTTTCTTCTTCTCCCTAGCTAGTGGTAGTTAAGTAGTGTATTAATGTCAAAATTTCACTTCATATTAAAGCATATATTTCAACCATCCAAAAAAGAAAAGGGAGGAAAATTGTGAATAGTTGAATTTAATTAGGTAGTAAATGTTTTTTTTTTCCCTTCACGATAAAAGTGTTGATAAATTAGTTGGTAGAGCCCCGGCTGCGATTTGCTCAATAACATTGTTAGAGGGTTTTTTCCCCCTTGAATTTTCATGTGTTTACTCATCATCCAAATCACGAATCAATACATAATTTTAATTCGCTTATTTGTATATCCTCACTGTCCAAACTCACTATAGATTATGTGAAAACGATTTTCGCTCTCGTGAGAATTTCTCAAATATTTATACAAGTGCAAATAATTTCAAACATATACATCACCATCCTTTATAACATCCAAACCATTTATATCTTGATACAACCTTCATTGAAAGATTATCATGAACAAACATGAGAGGGGTTAGTAACTATTCCTTACTCGAGTTGAATAATTGCTACTATTGCTCACATAGCAACTTGCTCGAAATAAGGAATCCAACTCTGTACATATCCAACAAGACAAGAAGGATTAGAGAGAAACAGAGGAAGAGAGAGAGAGAAAAAAAATGTTACAAGAAGAAGGGTAGAAAGTCAAAAAGTCAACCTTCAAACCTCCCCCTTACTTACTAGAAAGCCAAAAATTCCCTCTCCCTTCTCTTAAGTGCCAATTAACACTTAATTAAGTACATGTAATTAAAAAAAAAAAACAACTTTCGCCACGCTTTGCCATTGCCTGCCTTCCATTTCTTTTCAAAACTCTGTATCTATAAATACCCTCCAACCTTCTCCATCTTCCCCTGTACTAATCCTACTCTCTCTCTCTCTCTCTAAAACAAATAAAATATTCTCTCTCTCTCTCTCTCGTCTCTCTTTTTGTTTACTAAGCAAAACCCAGAAGAGGAAACAACGATGGACGTCAACTACGCATCGCCGGCGGCCGGAGGAGACAGTAACAACAGCCAGAGGAGCTCGTCGTCCTCTTCCTCCGGCGGCGGAGACCACTTCAGCGCGGAGGAGGAGATGATCAGCGAGCTCCGGCGTGGACCGTGGACGGTGGAGGAAGACTTCAAGCTCATCAATTACATTGCAGCTCACGGCGAAGGCCGCTGGAACTCCCTCGCTCGCTGCGCCGGTAAGAAACAACCAAAATTTACAAAACGCTACCCGATACTTTTTCCACCACTCTGTTTCTACTCCTCTTTCATTTTCCTCGTTTCATATCAGTCCTCCACCAATTCAGCCAAAAATAGTATTGTCGATTCCTTTGCTTTTCCAAGGAAAGGGAAAGCTCCAATCCAACACGCAAGTTGCTCATATAGTGCATCATCATCATGTTCATCTCTCCCTCTCTCTCTTTCTCTCTCTACTCATTGATCCCATGTTCTTGATTTCCTCCAATCAAATCTTTTCCTTCCTCAAAAGAAATATACATATACTAAGATACCATCCGGCCCGATTTTTAGCCTTTTACGAAATTAATATTTGATCGATTTCGTGTTAATTTTTCGGATTGGGTTTCATATTTGGATCACTTATAACAATTCGAATTAAGTAAAAATATGGAGGGATTATTGTGAGGCGGCTTTGAATGAGAGATCACATCAAGGAGAGGAAAGTGTACTATGACCCATCACCGTCCAAACGGGGAAATTTACTGTACTATTTTTGTTTGAGTAGAGTGGGGGATCTTTCTTTCATATGATATGATGATCAATTAGACAATTAATGTATTCAAGTGTCGTGTGGTGAAACAACTTTACCAAATCTTACCGAATCTTGGTGGTTTTTAATGAAACAGGTCTGAAAAGAACAGGGAAAAGCTGCAGATTAAGGTGGCTCAATTATCTACGGCCCGACGTCCGACGTGGCAACATCACCCTCGAAGAACAGCTCATGATCCTCGAGCTCCATTCCCGCTGGGGCAACCGGTAATTTTTCCCATTTCCCCACCTCCATCACGTGCATAATATGCGCCAAGCTAGCTTGACAAGAAACATCCCAACTCACTCTGGATTCGAATGTTTTTTTTAATGAACCCAGTTGGTCGAAAATCGCACAACACTTGCCTGGGAGGACGGACAACGAGATCAAGAACTACTGGAGGACGCGGGTCCAGAAGCACGCGAAGCAGCTCAAGTGCGACGTCAACAGTAAGCAGTTCAAGGACACGATGCGGTACCTGTGGATGCCGAGGCTAGTGGAGCGAATCCAAGCCAGTGGTGGCGGCGGCGGCTCGGCCTCCACGTCCGGTAACGCTGCAAATTCTCTGCCCACCGGCCCGATGATTGACCCCGTCGTGACCGGAGTGGCAGAGAGCAGCAGTGGTCTGGCGAGCTACGGGATGGGTAGCTTGGACGGTACGTTTTGTGGTAACTACGCTACTGCTACTGCGGCCGAGAATTCGAGCACGGCGGCATCCTCGGCGGATTCTTTTGGGAACCAAGTCTCGCCCGTATCGGACATGACAACGGACCACTACAATGTATTGGGTGGTCAGAGCTCCAACATGAACTCATCTGATTATATCGGCAGCTATCAGGGGTATACAGACCAGTTGATCAGTCCGGCGACGAATTATTACAACCCTGTCTGGGATCAGCAATTCCAAGCTCCGCAGCAACATCAAAACAACGAGTATTACACCAACAACAGTAACCAAGTGCAATGGATGGATGGTGGGAATGCGCCGGACAGTTTGTGGAACACCGATGATATTTGGTTCCTCCAACAACAATTCAGCAACAACAACATCAACATGTGAAAGAAAAATATACAAGGAAAAAGGGGGAGGTATACGGTTATTATACGTACTACTTCGTATATTATACAGAAAGTAGTATAATTATGCGAACAGGGCGAAGGTAGACAGAGAGGAATAGAATGAAAGAATCCGTAGATGGATACAATGATATTAGAGTATATGATTTGCAATTGCTTAGAGATGAGGAGATGTCTCTAATTGTGGATTATTAATATTTTTCTTCTTTTTTGGTGGTTATTTTTACAAAATTATCTTGGTTTGTTTGTTGGTTGTTTTTTTTTAATCTTCTTTCCCCTTGGATTGGGATAGGAAAGGATGGGAAGGGAATTTTAGTTTTATAGGTTTCCTCAATCTCATTCTCTCTTTGACATATGACATATTGTAACTCCTTCTTTCTCTTGTTTTTGCTATGTAATATATAAAGCTTCCTCTTCTTCATATCTTGAGCAATGAATTTTACTAGACTGCCACTGGAATGGTGATTGCACTATGGAAACATGTCAAAGAGAAAGCCCCACAACTTAAAAATGTTTTGTTTGGACAAAAATCTAGGAGAGTGCATAATTGGTTCCACCATCATCTTGAGCTTGAGTTGGAGGGGAATACTAATATTTTAATAAGCTAATGAATAGTAAGATTGGATTATAGTCATGCAACTTTTGAAACTCTTGTCCATGGGGCATGAACCTTCCCAAGATTACAAAGTAACGAGCTTCTAGATTTTCAAAATTAATCTCATATTATATATTAATTTATCAATTTAGACGTGGCACAATGAGATTAAATTAATTATGTTTATTAATAATTAGATGGTGGCCACTAACCCTAACAATCTCTACTTTAATTCATAATTCTCCCCACTATTAATCCACAAAGATGGTGATGGTGAATCGTTTATATCCCATCAGTCCAAACTTCAAGCAAACAAAGTAAAAAGATTATTGTGTCCCGGCCTTTAATTGTACGGATAAAAGTGATTAGATCCCATTTAGCCGGACATAATTATCTCTTTGCCGGGGGATGCATGGCAATATTTTTCTTCTTCTAAGCTAGGATAGGAGGGTTGTGTAATTTGCAATATATATTAGTTAAAATTGATGAGATTAGAGTAGTATGCACATGATATATGTATTGTGTAAGGGACCATTTGGTTTCTCTGACTGTTAGATTGATGTGTAGTTATCAATACACGTATTATAATATGCATGTATCGATGAATTTGATGTATTATAAATAAATAATATAAACATTCTAACAATCTTTAAAATAATATGAGAAACCAGACAACTCTTAATTAAACATTGCCCATGTGACTGCAACGAATTGATTAACAGTTGTAAAGCTGTACGTATTTAGATACGTGTCATACGACCACCTTACCCCTGTGTTGAAAAGGGCAGAACGGAGAATTCACAGTTGGTAATGGCACGTGCGACAGGGGAATGGTAAGGACGGGCGGTGGGGGAGCCAGCACGTGATTAAAAACAGTTGTGTAGAAAAAAGAGGCGGGAAGGACGAAGAAGTGTATGGCGGCGGGGAATCTTTCTAAGCCGCGTGTCTTTTAGAGAAGCCATCGAACTGGTCCCCGGGGTAGCGTGGGGTTGCCAGACCGCCACGTGTTATTCTGCCACCTAATAAGCCGCTAAAGGACGGGGGGAAAAAAAGAAAAGATTGTTGTTAATTTCTCCTACCCGTTTCACAAAAAGAAGAAAGAAAAGAAGGCAAAATTGGTGTTTATAATTTTGACAAAATGGTATATGGTTTACACAGCCGAAACCATTGAAATGCAAAGCTCTTTCTTCCCCATTCAAGCCAACAAGACTTTGCATTCCGTAGTATGTAATTATGTATTGTTTATCAACTTATTTGCACAAGTTGATTTTATAGAATGTAATCAAATTTCCCTTTTCTCCATTTTTTTATTGTACCAATTGTAAATGCAGTCCGTATAGCATAATCCACATTTGTATTATCACAAAACAAAACATTAAGAAAATGAAAGAGTCAAACACAAACGAAGAGCAACCTAATTGTCGTCAGGGGGAAGGCACATTGTAAGAGGACCATAATTTGGAATAGTCGCACAACGGCGATCTGAAACAATCATAGGCTCGGGGCAACATATCTTGCATATCTTGGTTCCAATTTACCAAGCCATTCCTCCTCCTATGATTGCTCGACCAACTAGGTTAGGTAGAAGTTAAATCTCATGGAGGATCCTAGTAGATAAAGGTGTCAAATGAATTGAATTGATAGATTGGTGGTCTGATGGATTAGATTTAAATAGATGGTTGGATTCATGGATCAAAGTGACATGTAAATCTTGAACTATTATGAACATTTTGAGAAGTTCATGTACTAAAAATACAGTATAAAATAAATTAGATACCAAACCGCAAGTTTGAAGAATATTTTCCATTGGAAACTTTAAATTTGGACACCAAATTGTAATATAAAAATACAGATATTAACAGTAATTTTCTAACGATTAATGAATCCACCAATCCAACTGAATTAGTTAAATTGTTAATAGATTAATTTGATTAAATTGATTAAAAATTTTTGATTAAATTGATGGATTGGATTCAAATTAGCATCACTATAGTAGAGATCCCACGTGGTTTTGTCCTTAACGTGCATATAATGTGATTTCCTGAAAGGTCATCCATATTTATATTACTCCATAATGAACCCGTTTTAACTTTAACAGACCGGTTGGTACCAAATAAATCGAGAATTCATTTCATTGTAAAATGAATTACCGTGTAGAATTCATTGTCAAATGAAATCCTATGTTTGGTATGTTATATTCAAATCATTGAAGTGTCGTGTAGAATTCATCGTCAAATGAATTTCTGTGTTTTGTATGTCATATGTATAAGTAATTTAGTTAATAAAAGAGGATAATTATGTCATTCTATTATAATTAGTAAATCTTGTGGAATTCATTTGGAAATTATATCTCAATTCCTCGAAATTGCTATAACTAGTTCCAATTCTGTAGAATTCAAAATTTAGAATTGAAAATGAATTCATTTTAATACCAAACAAAAAATATTTCATTACAAAACTGAAATACCTTAAAACTTATGGAATTCATTTATACCAAACTGTATGTAAAATTCTTACAAAACTGAAATAATATTGTAAGTTAAGATTTGTCTAACATGTTAGATGTATATTTTTCTTTTTGTCACCTTGGAGAAAAAAAAGGAAATGAAAGTTATTTTATCCAAGAAAGTGTGACTTGGGTGAGCAACACAACTGGACTCCACTATTGCATTACTTGGCTTCTTCCTTTCCGTCTTGTCTGAATTCATTAACGTGGTGTATGTATCCTAAGACTAAGGCCGGCGTACGCCACGAAGACTTCTCCTTCTTCCTCCGCAATATACGGTGGGCCCAGCCCAATTCTCCAGCAGTCACATAGACGGATCCGGGTGGGTCAAAACTGGGGTTTGAGCTTATCCCACGTGGGCTTCTCGTCCACATTTTCACATCAATAGTTATCGACTTGGTAGTTGGTAGTTGGTACTCCTTCAAATAATAATTATCAATAATAGTTATTATTATTATCTTAGGGTATCCAATAGTATTTTTCATATTGGTTTTTAATGAGTAATTAATCAAATTCATGGTGTAGTAGTAGATGTTATTGTTACTTATTAAGCAGTCGCTCGTTGAATAATCACGAGAATTAATTGAGTCTGGACTTTGAGAATATAATTATAGTTATTAGAAAATAATTTTGTGTGATTTTTTTTTTTTTGTAATTTTATCCAACTCAAATTTTATCATGACTATATAGAAGTTACTCAAAGTCATTAATCACCCCCTAAAGTATGAATGAATTATGCGAAATAGTGTTATTGTTACCAACTAGATATTGAAAGATTACGAGGTTGTTGTGTATCAATTCCGAGCTCAACCTTCTTCGTATACTAGTTCTTGGTGATGACATTCTTAGATATTGTGACGTTTTATTTTCTTCCTTGGGTGAGGGGTTTGCATTGCTGCAGTCCCTAGTTAGGATTGCGAATTAGACCGCCTATAAAGTGACAAAAGCGATTTTGTTCCCCAAGTTGGGATAATTACCTGTATCTAACTTCTTTTTATTCCATGTATCTAATGGAAAAGAAAAGACTTGGACTGAAATAGTGTTTCCTCTACTCAATTTCATGCTTTGATAATGGAGCTAGAGAAATAGGGTAAACGAGTGGAAGGATGTAACTAGAAAGGCTGCCCAAATGCCAATTCAGGCTTCAGACGACCAAGACTTCTTCTCATTTTCCACCAATTTCATCAGTCGCAGTCCGCAGCACAATCTCCAAAAAAAACAGATAGTCATTTCCTGGCGTGGGACTCAGGCAGATTGATACGTTAACATCACCACATCACGAACCGCCCTTTTTATGGCTCTTTACAATGAACTTCGTTGCCTTTTCTTCCTCTTCTTCTGTTAATCCCATCAATCTATATCGGTTGTTGATACTGATTTGTGCCTTTCAAATCTATAGTTCTCCCCACGTTGATCCAATTGTGCGGTGACAGAAGATGGATACTATTAGTAGCATCTGGGCCAGCGTCACAAATACCTTGCAACAGTAACCACTTGTACTTTGCAAAGTTTGCAACTTGGACGACGGCTGTGAAATGGCCCCCTTGAAATGGGGAAGCCATACATGTTTAGCTAAGTGGGCATTCAACAAATGTTTCGTAGAATGTTCGCGATATGTTATCATTACGAACCGAAAACAATCAACATCTATATTGATAAAGCTGTGGACCTTTCGTCTTTACTTCTTCGAGAGTGCTAGAAATAGTTTTGTAGCCGATAATAGGGTGCTATAAGGGGGATTGAAGACTTTATTGTAAGCCATGTTTGACAATATTTTTTGTGCAGAGAATAATATATATAAGTCGATTCACTAATAAGCAGTTAGTCGAGCGCTTATTCGTTGACCACCGAGTCGAGCTGGCTTGTGATAAGTTGAACAAGATTACGATCAAGCTCCACTCTTTAATAAATGAGCCAAGTGACTTTTTCTCAAACCAAACATCGGCCGAGAGCCGATTGTGAGTAGTTCGTCTCATTTGCTGCCCTATTAGTAAACACCCGGCTCGAAACTCAAATTCTGACACTTATTAACATCAACCACATCATAAGCTATCATAGTACACTCCTAAAGCTACCCATCGAAGAACACATGGTGCAATAACCAGCTAGCTATAGAGAAGGACAACAGAATCTTTTTCTAGTATCTCGCATGCATATAACATGTTGAAATATCATCAACACCCACGAATAAATCATGGCAAAATATCCAAAAACACGACATAACACGTTGGAGGGTTTTGTGCACTTATATGGGTTTGTCATCCTTTCAGAAACTAAATTAGAGTGTGTGCCGATTGCTTGTTTTGTCAAATATTACGAACCATAGCACATGCTAACCTATTCTCA